GTTTTCTTTCCATTTTAGTGTGTCAAATCTTTAAACCATTATCTGCAAAGACTAATGTATTATCGTAATACATGTATCTCCTGCAATGTATTGTGTTTTCCTAATAAAACAAGTTATTTTTTATATGTTTGAATGATACAAAAGTAGGGTGAAAATCAGAAAAAAATGAATGATACTTTTGGTAAAACCTGGGAATTTTTGGGTAAAAATTGGTTAAAACTGAAAATGAAGGGGCATACAGATGCGCCATGGTACATTTCCCCTCCCCCCCCCCCCCATGCTCCCTTCATCTCCTGCAACAGTAGCATGACAGGCTCCCAGCTGAATTGAAATTGGCATGTGACTATAGCGTGTGCTTTATAACCTCTCTGGGAGGACTCTTGGAGAGGCCAGAGTCTGCTACTATGGAAGTCAATGGCAAAACACCATTTGAAAGTGTGGAGGATGAGCTGAGGCTGGATGAGGAGAAACTAATTCTTCTCTGTGCAGCCTTCAGTCCATAGATATGTTTAGGTTAATTTTCCCCTGCTCCGCCTAGGTCAAATGCCATGTTCCCTTTCTTCACATGGACATGTGGGGGTTTTACACAGACTTTGGAGGCAGGGAGAGTATCTGGAGTAGTGCCCTCCTCCTCTGACCATGGCTTTTTCTCTCCTTTGTGCTGCTTAGTGGGATGGGGGAGGGAAGAGACATAGGGGCTATTCTGCTTAATCCAGGCCAAATTTGCAGGGGGGAGGAGGAAAAAGCCATGCGGCATGAGAAAGTAGGAGTCGGAACAATCATCCCCTTGCACGTGGCATTTTCGATCTTCAGTCAGCCTCTCTTTCAGAGATGTGACTTCAGTGCAGTTTTTGTTAAAATACTGAAGAATAAGGAAAGGTATAAAATGTGTATAGTTTTCTGAGAAACTAACTCTTTCAATTTCTGGGGGTAATTGTGTTTAGTGTTTGGCCTAATTGCATGCTACTTGCTTGAATCTTGAGGTGTCCTGGAGGACAACTCTGTCAAATACCAAAATCAGTTGTTTGTTTAAAATGTATAATTGGGAAGCCATAACCACTCTTACCCCTTCATGAGCTGAGAGAGGCCAGAACAGCTTTTTTTAGTAAATACATTAGATGTATTTCAAATTCTTAGGGGGGATGGGATGGGAAGAATTTATTGCTGGGCAGGGAGTCTCTGGTTTGTATGCACAATAAGGCATCTTTAAAAAACGATACTAGCTGCCTAATAAACAGGAATGGCTCCTGTGGAGCTGTTCCAGTTTGTCATGGGACATAATTAAGGTTGTGGGAGAGCTCCTGGGAAACTTGCAGGAAAGCGTGATTGCCGATTTGCAGGCTTATTTTTAGAATACACTGTATGGGGCACAAGTCTCTTCCCATTAGAGAATGGTAGAATGGTAGAACTCCCAATGGTAGAACTCCCAGCGACTTGCCTGTGGTCAGGAGCAGGCATATAGCTTATACAGTGTGCGTGCATTTTATTATCCATCATCTGTAAATCCACTTCCCCATTTTATAGTCTTTGTATGAACTTACTGTAAATTTAATTCCACACGTTGCACAACGACTAATAATCTTGTCAGGACTGTATTTTTGGTCACTGAGATCAGGAAACCAGAGGGCTGGGCCTCCTGCCAGCTCCTAAATGACACAAAGTGCGTAGTGTCATGCCAACAGGAATGTTTTTCTCTCTGTCCACCTGGAACTATCCCGTCATAAATCCTTGTGAAAGAAACAGCCAGACCTACAGTGATGTGCTCCGGGTTCACTCCTAGCTCGTGGGGTGTATGCAATAATTAAAGGATGGAGTAAGTGAGCTCACTACAGCTTGCGGTCTTGAGCAACCAGTGAGAACTCATACAGATGGGTCCGTTGACTCATTCTGCTTCCAAGGTTCAGTGACCTGCTACTATAACAATGTAGGTTGGTGGGTTTGGAGGGAAATTACGAGTTAAGCTCTCCTAAATGCTGTGTGTGTTAGTTACAGTGGGAGAATATATTCAGTTTTTGTAGACTGGCTGTTTGGTCAAAGTTCCCCACTGATTCCTGTGAGTCTTTATATACCCAATTTGGTTCCTTCACTATCCTGAGAAATTCCCTAACACCTGTGATTTTTCAAGGTAAAATTACCATTTACTGCCTGCCTGCAAACTTCATTAAAACGTTTGAGCAAAATGTGCAAAACCTGCCATGCTTAGCCACTGGAGGAACCTGTCCTTGGTCTCATATTGCAGGTGAAATCTCAGGTATGCAAAAATACAAAAACAAAAAAAACCTTCAACCTTTTTTGGCAGGAGAGTGATCATACTAAGAAACCAGCTGTCTGATAAGAAATCAAAGATGGGAATTGCCATCAGGTATGAGGAATAGTGTAGTAAACACATTTGTAATCTGAAGTGATCATAAAGGTGTAAATTCTTACTTACAAACATCCATTCAGTATTTTGCTTGTTTTTAATGGTGAGATGACAAAATGCAGGTATGAAGCTAAGTATAAAATTACACAAAAAAGTCTACAAACAAGGCCACCCTATTGCTAGAGGTATTAGTCATGCACTCCTTACCTCTTGTGTATAGTACGCAATCCACTAGTATGATGTGTGAAGTGTGCCGCAAAACATATGTGCAAACTTTGGAATGTGTGCGTTTAATAGATCTAGATCTGAGGCCAGTGTTTAATTAGCCATCTCCTCTGGCTTCTTCTCTGGCTCCATGTCTGGCAGTTGTGATTATGGAACAGTTTATGGGGCTTTGTGTAAGGTGGCTATTGCTTCTGAGATGTTTTGTCCTCCAGGATACCTTTTTATATGGTCTCACTTCTGGAGCGAGGAATTTCCCCCTCATAAACTTGGGTCTGGGGGCGTGAGAAGGACAATGGAAGAGAAGATGAGATCCCACAGATATTCACAAAGATCCCCGTCCAGAGCCTAGATGCAAAATACAGCTAACCTTTAAGTCTTACCACTGCTCCAGCTGTATTGTGTCTGGGTTGTTGGCAACTCTGATAGAGGAAACCAAGGTTTATATCGCATAACTGGTACATGGTATGTGGCAAGAGGGCAAATAATTGAGCTTTATTCCATGTTTGATATGCTGTGGAAGCCAGCACTAGCCTAAGGCATTGGTATCTTTGTGTGGTGCATAGACCAGAAGTTTAAATGGAGATTTCATACATGTAGCAAACCCAGTTGTTCTGTACTCTGCATCTGCTCTTACCATCCATTGTAAAATAAATGCAGTGTATGCCACACTGCTTTTATATGCATTTGATGAATCTCTCAGAATTTGTCAGCCGCATTTTCCATTATCCTGTATCTGCATTGTCTTGCAATGTACACCAGTGCAAAATGCTACCAAATCAGAATGGGAATGATTTATACTCTCTTTGCTCTGGGTGTAAATAGCTACATAAGGTGCAGGGCAATGGAATATGTCCATGTGTATGGCACATTGCTGTGTATTTATGCAAAGCTCCTATACAATGGGTTTCCTTTGTTGAATCAAAAACTAGTTTGCCCAAGTGTCGGGGCCATAGCAGCTGTAGAATTAGATTATAAAAGAAGATTGCAATTATTGAATCTGGCTATTGATAGCATACATTTATTTGACTATTTTTCTTTTTATGGAATTGTAACTAAAATGTTCGTTATTTGCATTCTCTGCTTAATTGATCTGCATTGCAAAATCACTATTTATGGAGTGCTTCACGTTTTCAACTATATACATACATATGCCTTTTACAGCTTTATAGTTTAAGTTTTTACTGTACGAAGCTAGCAATTAAGATTGGTGATCTGTTCAGGAAAAAAGGTGGAACATCACTAGCAAATCTTTCGTAATGCTTACTTAACAACATTTTAAAGAATTGCAAAGTGCATAGCAATGCTATGTAAAGGCTTTCAGTATAGTTATTCCTTTAGTCAAACTGGATGATTCATCATAGCTAACATTTGGCTCACCCTTCGTTCCTTTGGGTTCATGTATGTGCTGTGCTGATTAATGAAATGGTTTGCCTAAATAAATAAATATATGGCAGTCTATTATTAAAGATTAGCTTTGAATTGTGCATGTTGTTAATGAAGCTGGGATGGATCACACCAGATACTCAGCAGGATTTAGTGCTTTAGATCTTTGCTGCTGTCCCCTGCAAAGTGTCGTTTATATGGCCTACTTAACTTCGTTCATAACAATAGAGATGCCTTAGAGGTGAACTGGGAAGCTTTTGTAAGTACTTTTTTTTTTTTCAGAAGATTTGAGCTCCCAGCCACGTCCATAAAGGTTTCTGTGTTGGAATACAAATAAATTGTGTAAGGTGTTTGAAAATCAGATCCTCCTTACCTGCAGAAATTTTTAGCCTGAGAAATTTAGGTGCTGAGCACCCCGCAAATACTGTTGAAATGAGTGTGAGTCTAGGGCACTCTGCACCACACAGGGTAAGGAAAAACACTGGAACAACTGATGACCCAGACCTTGTACTATCAGGGTCTTGATATACTAACCTTGCAGGCATGCAAGGGCCATCTTTTTTCCCCCTCAAGAATTTGGGGAAAAAGTGGGGCAGGAGATGGTGCTAGAAGTGATTGTTGACAGCTATTGTTATTCATGTGGTTAATTTTGCTTGTCTGGCCAGTCTGTTGAATTCATTGAATCTGCTCAATGTGTTAGAAGATTTTAATTTTTTGTTTCATTTTTTTTTAAAGTTTTTTCAAGTGTCCAGTGATTAGGATGAAGGCTTAAAAAAAAATCAAAATAAACCAATAATTTAAAGTTGGTTTGGGAATGCAAATTTCCAAACTAGATTATGTTCTTGAGCTGCTGGTATTCTCAGGGGGAAAGAAAAAAAGAAAAGAAAACCACGAATACCAGATATTTAAAAGCCTTCGCATTTTGATTTGAGAGAGTATTTCATACATGCAGCACCAATGTGAAGCCATAAGTAAGCTTTGCTAGGAATTTGTAAGCAAGAAACAAGCATGTCTGTCTTTTTCTCTCTAGAATGATGAAGTCCTCTGTACATACAGAAGAGGATGACTTTGTTCCAGAGCTTCAGAGAAGCATTCATCCCCGAGAGAGGCCGGATTGGGAAGAGACTCTCAGTGCTATGGTAAAGCATTGTTATATTTTATATATGCCTTGCTTTCTGTCCTGATCAGTGTTAGAATGATCTGCCCATTGATTCTTTTATAGTTATAGATTTTGATGTGATGTTCTTCTATTTCAAATCATTACGCTGATTACACAGGAGTCTGAAGAATAGTGGGGTGCATTCCTTCCTCTTGCAATTCACTGATGGGGGAGAAACACACGCATGGAGGTTCTGTCCTATTAATACATGCCCCTAAGCAGGCCTAGTAATCAATTAAATGGTCCATAATGTCACAGTGATTTTCAGTCTGCATTAACCTCTTATTCAGCAACTATCTCCAGTACGAGGGGAACATCTAGTAAAAACATGCTCTTTAAAGCACACAGTATTGCACAGAGAAAATTAGCAATATGTTGGCTGTGCCTACATAAATAAAACATTGGCTTCAAAACTAAACCCCCACAGTGAATAGAACAGTGGAAAATTAACCAGCTAGTGCATGTTTCCATGCTCCGTGAAGTCAATGGAAAGCAGGCGTTGAGTTGGGCCATGACAGTTGTGGCCTGATTTTTCAAATGAGCTGAGCACCTTGAGCTCAAGTTGACTCAAGTGAGAGCTGGGATTGCTCAGCTTTGGAAATCAGGCTGTTACTCTGTTAGCAACTTCAGTGGACTTCCTTACTTGGTGGACTCGTTAAGTGATCTTACGTCACAGCACCATGGCCTGACTTCTGTTAGCGTCAGGCTAGCTGGAGCTTGTGGTGTATGTTCATTTTATAATTTCTAATGTGAACCAAATTGCCTTATTAACCAATGAGACTGGTGGGAAAATTCTACTCCAGTGACTGAGATATTGATTCTCTGTGTGTGGGATGGGTTTTTAATCCCCTGCTTCAGAAGAGCTGGGTGCAACACCCTTCCAAGTAAACACCTGGTAGTAAAAAAATCACTGTCTTCATTTGTGATCAGTAAATATTTTGTGCTTTTGTTGTGTCCCCTTTGGATTTGCAGGGCTCATTTTGCATGAGTGTCAAGGTGTGACTCTTTACCAACAATGGCAAAGATAGGTGGGTCAATATTTTAAAAGTAAGCCTCGTGCCCCAATCATTTTCTTACTTTTTGGTCAGATGATTCTGACTCAACCGTGTCACTTATGCACCTTCCTAATGCCTGAATTGTTTTTTCTGGAGGAGTCACTGCTTTTTGTCTTCAGCAATGTTATTGCTGGCAGGATAAATATTCTTTGTCTTCTGATTTTTCTCTTCTCTTCCTACTGTGTCTGACATCATTCTCTCTCCTTTCCTTCCCTCTGCATGCTCCTCCCCCCATAGCATGCTTCAAGCATTAGATGGTAGCAGCAATTCTGATGTCTAATAAGTTCTATTAGCAGTACATATCTAATGCTAATAGAGCTTCTTGCTGTCCCTGCTGAGACAGCATGCCATGCTGTCTAGGGGCTGGGGGGAATTTCCATTATTGCACAGGGAGCGTGTATCTAAATCCCACACTTTGAAATGAACAGTGGGCTTAGAATTGTATTAACTCCTCCCCTGCCACACTGGGGTGGGTGTCCTTGGCTTTTCCTGTGTTTGTGATCAGGACGTTCAAACAGTGATCTTTCAGGGTATTCCTCCATGTAAGGAATCCTAAGGCACTGACAGTGCTGGTTGAATACTTCGGTAACACTGCATTGGAAACACGGTTTCAGTTGCTTTTGCGGCGGTCTTGAAAGTATATCCATTATATGTTGCAGGCCAACAACCCAATGAAGGTCAGGACTCTAAATCCAGTGGGCTCTTCTTAAAAACTAGGACCTTTTGTCACTTGAAAAGATTTCTTGAGGTTTTCTTGGTCTGTCTTTGTGACAGGGTAGAGTCATCATACTCCCTACAGAAGCTCTGAGTAACAATGGAGTTGTCCCGCCATAAGTTATAACCCTGTCACATATGCAGCAGTATTTATACCGCAATACCTTTCCAAATGACCTTTAGAGCAGGGACATTGGATACCCTGGATTCATTCTTTGCCTGACAGTGAGAAAGCATACTTTTCAACATCACTTAGTTTCACAGAGCCAACAAGCCTTGTTGAGGCTCAATTCAGGTGAAACACAGTGCTGCTTATGAAGCCATATAAGAATCAGACAGACAGAGTAATCAAGCAGGGCATTTTGAATTCAAAAACATATTTGCTAGAAGAATTTGAAGAAGGTATACCTACATGGATCACTAAAGCATGAAAGGTGATTTGATATCTGATGGTGTTAAATGGGGGGGGGTATTTTGTGTTGACTGTTCTTTTACATAACGTTCAGAAAACGTACAGATAGCAAGTGTATGTAGAAAATGAGTTACCATCTACCTCCTAGTGGGGTTGTATCTTCATTTTACAGATGGGGAAACCAGCAAAGAGAGCACCATGCACACTTAATATGATGATATTTTGTTCCAAAGTTTATTTTCAAGCAAAACCAATAATGTTTTGGGTTCATCGGTGTTTGTGCCCCCTATTGCTTCCCTGTGTTGCTTTGTCTGTTTGTGACTCTTTACCTCCCATCCATCCTTTGTTAATTCTACCTGTCTCCAATCATTCCCTCCTGGATTGTTTTTCCTCTATATGTCTCCTTTTCTTGTCTGTACCTCATACTGCTCCTTCACTGTAACTTAGCGGGTAGCTGCATAGGTACACCATTGATACTGCATGTATGAGAACAAGGTCTACTCCTAATCCATCTTGTTCAGCAAGCAGTACGTGCTTGTGTCCTTAGCTAGCATCATGCTTCTGAGTGCTTCCTAAGATCCAAGAGCTTGGTAGTCTTTGGGTATATCACTGATTGGGCAACTCATTGCCTGTAACCTCTAGATGTGTCTCTTGACTGCAGATCTGCAGTTCATTCATCAATGGTCCTATTGACTTCCATGGGACTGTTCATGTGCCTACTTATACATGGGCTTAAATGCTTTGGATTGGGGCCTAACTAGGCAATGGAGAGGCTGCAACAGCTGGCAAATGATTGAGTACTGAAATTTATCTTTCATGTTAATTCACTATTTCTTTTATCAGTAGATCTTTTTTTTAATCCACTCTGTTTCCCAGTTTATAATTTCTTTGAGGCGCTATCTAGGTGTTGGAATATTTTTGTTTTGTTTTATTTTCTATTTAAGAATTGCATATGTAAGGAGAGACATGAAGGGAATAGTTTTTTTAAAAAAAGTATAAACAGGAACCGTAAAGTGAGGAGCTAATGTAAAATTATTTTTTGCAGCCTAGGGACATGATCCTGTTCCCATTAAAGTCAATAGAAGCTTGGCAGTTGATGTCAGGGCTTGAGGTAATAAGACAGGTGAAGACTTTTGGGTTTTTTTAAATATATACCCTATTTAACCTGTGCTCCATCTGAGAGTGGCAAGTTTCCAGAAAATGTTGCTTCTGATTCTTTTCTTGTTCTAGTGTCTCTCTTGTATGTACAGTTCTCTGATACAGGGAATAACTATCATTTTCTAATGATGAATCTGAACGATTAGCCATTTGAATGGAAAAATGAATTAGCAAGTAGTTGTGAGTTTGGGCCACTGTGATGCTTCAGGAAATGATTAAAAATCCTGTAGAAATAGCCTGTAAATTCTGTAGGGATTGTCTGCCTAATGTCACCAAGAACACCACCCCAGGCTCTCTCCCCTCTCTGGGCCCCCCCTCCCCCATTCTTGAGTAAACACGTTCCCCAGACAAACACTCCAGATGCCCTCCATTTCCTCTACTTTTTTCCCCTGCAGGAGAGCTTCAGGATCACATACCTTGCAGGAAAGGAAGGAGAATATAGATGTCAGTTGTGGGAAGGTGGAGAAAGAGAGTGACTTCAGGCCAGGCAGCCAATAATCTTGTCGCAATTTGTGTCCTGCAGCTAAAAACTCAGGAGAATTGGGTTGAAAACGTTGGGCCTCCTGGAGTGAAATTCAGAAAACGCATTTAGCTGCTCGCAAGACGTTTCCAGTGGCCCAAGTCCTGAGCCTAAGGAAATTGGATGTGGTTGAAGTTTTCATTGCCGTGTTTTTCCAGAGGTGGAGTTGGCTCAGTTAGAAAATTAAAAGTTAACATTACTCATGACATCAGTGGGTTGGGTTTCATTGTTCCCTTGAGCATACCAGGTAGGCTCCACATAGGGGAGCAGGGGTCCACCCACCTGGAACAACTTGCAGGATCAGAGCCTCAAGCAGTTTTACTCTTAGAACCATTACGGCACTTAATGCATTCACCGCTGATTCACTCCTTAGAACCTGTCCTCCTGGACAGCCAGAGATTCAAGTGTCTGTAACAAATACCATTTGAGAAGGATGACGATGAAAATTTGGCTCTGACATTTCCCGCTTTATTGCGCTGCCAGGTGTGATGCAACCTGGAACAGACATACGAGGCAACTGAAGCTGAAATGTCCAGTCTTGGATTTGTATTCATGGTGTAATTTCAACCTGATGATTACCTGAATAAATTGTAGACAGGTAGAAGCAGTTTCAGTTACTCATGTTTACTCTGCTCAGTGTATAAATTCCCTTTTCCAATTTCCTCCCCAATTTCATCTTAATGGTCAAAGTATATAGAGAGAGGAGTTCATGTTTTCAGGGTGTTTGATTTAGATGTCCTGAATTGTAGATTTCTGTCGTCTGTTTAGACTGTGCCATTTACCATATATTATATCTTTCCAGGTAATATATTAAGCCTGGGGTTTCCCCCTTTGCTCTCTTTCTTTTTTTTAGAAAATATGTCCTGTGAGGAAAGGTTGAAAGAATTGGGCATGTTAGTTTAGGATAGTGATGACTGACAGGAGACCCGGTATGTCTTCAAAATATGATAAAAAGGACAGTGATGGATTGCCCTTCACGTCCACTGAGGGTAAGACAAAAAGTAATCAGCTTTGTTTGCAGCAAGGGACATTTAGGTTAGATGTTAAGAAAAACTAGAGGGATAGTTAAGCACTGGATACCAAGGGAGGTTTTGGAATCCCTACCACTGGAAGGTTTTAAG